TGGCACTGCCTGGGTGAAATGACAGGGTGAGGGACAGAGAGAAGGGGAAGCCTCAGCGGTGGAAATGGTTCAGCTTATTGAGGAGAAAAAGACGCCAGAGCGACAGTAGCAGAGTAGACAGGCGCGTTGAGGGGACGAAACTGCAGCATTACTGAGGGCTGAGCATGGGGGTTCTTTTTGGAAGCACGAGAGGGTGGCAGAAGCACATTTAGGAGCACCCTCTCTACTGAGGAATGGACAAGGGGATCAAGCAGGGCCGTTCCCCAGGGTCTATAAAGCCAAATGCCGCACAAGGGTCAATAAGGCTGAGTGGTGGGCAAGGGTCATACTCACGGGCCCAGGCCAGTGATCCAGCCAGAGCTGCCAGAAAGAGAAGAGCAGTGAGTCTCATGCTTCTGTCCACCTGGGAGTGTCCACTCAGGGTTTGCTGCAGAGTCCTCAGAGATTCTCTGGTCTCGGTGTCTCTACTGTCTGTCTGGACCTCTTTTAATCATGACAGAGACCAATGAGAACCAGGCTTCCAGTGGCGTGTTCATTCCTCCTCCTCCTCCTCCTCCTCCTCCTCCTCCTCCTCCTCCTCCTCCTCCTCCTCCTCCTCCTCCTCCTCCACATCTCCCACCTCAGAATCATCTGCTAAGTCAATAGGAGCCAGCTGGGTCTGGCTAGTGCTTGCTTTCCCTCCAGGTAGGTCCTGGGTAGGTGTTCTGGAACCATCCTGTTTGGCATCATTTGCTTGCCCTTCCCTTTGCCATCACTCAAGCTTCCATGTCTGACGACATCTTAGGGTCTAGGTGAGACTGTGGGGAGTTTCTGAGGAGGGCTGTAGCAGGATTATTTTGATCAGACGTCTCTCCTTGAGTGGAGGAGCTGGAGGGCCTCTCAGATTCAGTCTCCTCAGGGCAAGTGGGAGGGCTGGAGCTCCTCCAGAGTAGGCCAAGCCAGTTTCAAGGGGCAGCCCTCAGAGCCCTGGTCTAGAGAGGTTCTTTCTTTAGAAAAGAACCAGTCTCTGTAGAGGCCCTGACTAAGGCATTTTCAACCCCAGCTAATGATTCCCAACCCCTGAAAACGCTTCTGGTGACAGCGGAAAGTCAGCTCTCAGCTTGCTCTTTAGAAGGGAGCTGGTGGCCATGGTGTGCAGAGGCCCCATCAGTGGGAAAGGAAAAGGTGCTTGTACCTTCTGGGAATCATGTTTGCTTTGGGTTGGCAGGAATGGTTCTGGAGACAAAGTTTATGACTTGATTTTGTGATTACTAGTTTTGTGGTTTTGGGAGTGGCCAGTCACCTGCCCTACTTCAATTGCTTTTATTTGACAGTGAGAAATCATCATTATTCTCTCCAAGGTTAATATGAGGAATATGTATGCTGTGATTATCCTCGACCTATTTTAGGAGCTGAAAACAATATGGAACTTTGTTTTCTGACTGTAAGAAAACTGGTTACTGTTTGGGACTCTCTCCAGGGAACAGGCGTTTCCCTAGGGCTTTGGGGACAGCAGTCTGTGATTGTTTCTGTGGTGTTTTCCTTGTGCTGTCTCAGACATGAGTAGTTTATGGTCTTGCATGGAGGGATACACAGTGGATCAGGCCACAGACAGAGAGAGAAACAACAGAGAGGCAGTGATGGTATCAGCAAAGAAATGTAAGCCCTTCTTGGTCCAAAAGGTTGGGTATCTGCTTCAGTATTTGGTAGAGGAGTGACTTGGTGCTTGTCACATAATCCCAGATCTCCATGTTGGGAGTGTTCAGAATAACCCAGGATACAAGTGAAGTTTAAATAGGAAATTTAATAGAGACACTCTGAGGCCCCTGTGCACCCTGGCATTCACCCCACATCGCCACAGGAATTTGCTCTATCCAGCCTCCTTTACTCTGCGGTAGTTAACAGGAACCTGTCTTGGCTCACCTTTTTCTATCATATCGACGGCCTTACCCCACCTTTTCCTAGCTTCCATTTATGCCAAAGCTGTTAGAAACACATGCATACTTTGTTTCATCATTGTTTTACTTTACATTCCCACCCACCCTGCAATGTTCCCATATGTTTCCTTGGAGGAATGCTTGCCAAGGTAGAAAACACAGTTGCTGCTTTTCATCTATGTCTTTCTTGACCTGTGAGGGTAAATGACACTGTTAACTAGCTTTCATCCTGTGAAATGCTAGACTTCTCTCCTCCCCCCTCTCTCTTTCTCCATTGCTTTCTTCCCTGCTACCCTAGTATTTTCCAGGTTTCTATTTGGAACCCCTTACTTCTTCCCCTCATACATGCTCCTGTGTGAGTCAAATTTATAAATCCCGCCTGCTCATCAACTCAGACCCCTCTTCTGAGCATTAAAAACCAATAACTGATCGGCAACAAATCCTAGAGGTTGAAAATGGGTCTCACTTGCCTTGTCCAGAGTCTTTACCCATCACTCCCTCCCCCTTTACTAGTTTTGTTTTTGTTTCAATTAATAGCACTAACATTCAATCTGTAATCTAGACAGATGCTTGACAACAGTTTTCCAGTATTCTTCCTGCCAGCCTCTCCGTTACATGAATGTAGGGACTGGTCCCTCTTCATCACTCCCAGGGCCTCTGTTTCTATGGTCTCTGTCTTTGCATCTTGCCATTTCTGTTCTTCACCAAAATAGCCCCACAGCTGATAGCTTCTATTTCTGTACACCTGCAGTGGAAGTGATTTACAGTTGTGTAAACCCAGACAGAGTGTGATTGCCTTTTGTGAGTTGGATTCTGTCTGCCCTTTACTTTTTAATTTCTTTCTTCATTTCTTTTATACGTTTGGATATTTTTTCTGCATGTTGTTGTGTGCCATGTGTGTGCAGTGTCTGCAGAAGAGGGGGGATCGGTTACATAAATCCACTGGAAACCTGGAGTTCACCTTTGTACTCATTAAAACAAAACAAAACAGGATAATGCCACCACCTCCAGTTAATGAGGGTCTGGAGAGATGATTGAGCAGCTAAGACTGCTTGTAGCTTTCCCAGAGGGCCTGAGGTTCTGGTTCTGAGGACCTATATCAGGTGACTCAAAACTCCGCCCTCTGAGGATCCAAAATCCTTTTCTGTCTGCTACAGGTTTGTACACATAACACACACACACACACACACACACACACAAATAAAAATAAATCTTAAAGAGAAAAGAAACAACAACAAGCAGCAACTAACCAAACAGCATACAGTATTTGTTTACATTTTTATGAGGAAAAACTTATATACAATGCAAGGTACATATTATCTTGTCATTTTAGCAAATCCGTCTAGTGATTCCAATTAATATTTATGTTGCCAGCAATCTAGAAAATTCTCTAGTACCCCTTCCCAAGAAACCCTTGCTCTAACCCCTACAGATAAACAGAACAGCTTAAAAAAAAAAAAAGACCCACAGAAACACCTGACTCAAGCAAGTGAGAGCTCATTGACTCCAGACTGACAGCTGGGGACCTGCATATGACTGAACAAGGCCTCTGAATGTGGGTCACAGTTGGGTGTCTTGGGCAGTTTGTGGGTCCACCAGCAGTGAGACCAGTATTTATCCCCAGTGCAAGAACTGGCTTTTTGGAGCCCATTCCCTATGGGGGGGATACCATGCTCAGCCTAAATACAGGGTGGGATGGGGTGGGGAGGAGGAGGACCTTGGTCCTGCCTCAAGTGATATGACAGACTTTGTTGATTGTGTGTGTGTGTGTGTGTGTGTGTGTGTGTGTGTATGCCACGTGTGTGGGTGACATGGTGGCTAGAACAGGGTTTTGGACTCCTAGACTTGGAGTTATAAGGAACTGTGAGTTACCTGACTTGGGTGCTTGTAACTGAACTCAGACCCTTTGCAAGAATAGGAAGTGCTCTTAATCACGGAGACACTTCTCTGGCCTCCACAGCTGCTTTTCCGGTGCATTCTTTGCTGGAATATCTGTGGGGTTTGTCTGTGAATATATCCAGAGAACCTTCTTTACTAGAGGTCTGGGCCAGAGAAACCTGAAGATTTGGGCCGCAGAAGCTTCTCTGAGTCAGAACAGAAAGCATGTATTAAAAAATCATTTGTTGTCGTTATTAACCTTCCTCTCTTTCTCTCTCTGTGAATTTGTGTCAAGGTTAGGAGACAATTTTGTGGAGTCTTTTTTCTCCCGTCCACCTTTACATTGATTCTGGGGATCAAACTCAGGCCTCCAGGCCTGCATTGTGGGTGGCAAAGTCATTTTACCTATGGAACTGTCTTATTGGCCCTTCCACACATTTTTTTTTCGAGACAGGGCTTCTCTGTATTGCTTTGGAGGTTGTCCTGGAACTTGCTCTGTAGACCAGGCTGGCCTTGAACTCACAGAGATCCCCCTGTCTCTGCCTCCCGAGTGCTGGGATTAAAGGCATGTGTCACCAATGCCCATACTTTTAAAAGTGTTGAGTCTCCAGGGTTTCCTGGTGAAGAAGTCTGAGAGTAGACTTTGACCCATCCATGTAGCTCAGCTGGGGGTCCCAAGACTAGTTCCAGTGGACATGTGAGGATACAGGGAGCATGTAGCTTGGGAGAGAATGTTTGTGCTCATCAACAGATAGCTTCTATGAGTGAGAGAAGTAGAAGATATCCTATGTGAATCTCTACCCTCCACATTCATGCATGGGCAAGCACACTTGCAGACAAACACACGCATAAGGCACCCCCTGCACACTGATACACACACTTAATTAAGGAAATGCTACAACCAAGTTGTAGACAAATGTCATCGAAGGCATGTGACCTTCCCTGCTTCTGGATAACTGGATCTAGTTCTAAAGGGCTAGACCAAGCTCAGGCTCTTCCCCAGTCTTCAGCCATTGTGATGCACCCACAGAACTCCTCAGAACTCCAGATGGTGAGGACAAGATGCACAGAGAACCAGTTTCTTCAGGATAATTTGGATAATTCATGTGTGTTCCTGAGGCTTTGTGGGGTTAGAGGCAAAGAGGAATTGAATTGCCAGAGAGGTTTGCTGGAAGCAAGCTGACCTGTTTACTGTTGAGATTCTAGGAACCCTGAAACCTGAAATGTTCCCAGCTGGCTGCAAGCCCTGGCTTTCTCCGTTGCTCTGACACTCCTGTGTGGATTCCAGCATCGTCTGAGATTTAATGACAGTGGAACAGGTTGTAGAGAGGTCATTTTATCCATAGCCATCAGACTGGGAGAAAGAAGAAGGTGAATGGACAGGTAAGGGTATACAGGGGAGAGTGTGAAGTAATGCCTTCCCTAAGTCATGCCATTGGCCAGAAGCGTAAAATTCTTGTTTTCGTTTGTTTGTTTTGTTTTTTGAGACAAGCTTCTCTGTAGCTTTGGAGCCTGCCTTGGAACTTACTCTGTAGACCAAGATGGCCTTGAACTCGCAGAGATCCACCTGCCTCTGCCTCTTGCTGGGATCAAAGGTGTGTGCCACCAACGCCTGGTGACCAGAAGCATAAAATTCTTGCTAGGTCTTGTTTACTTTGTGTCATACATTTGTAGTCTTGCATTCTCAGTATGGGGACAGTGGAGGAAATCTTTAGTTCTCCAGGCTTTACCCAGTAGAGTTACCCCGAAGTATCTGTAGGGAAATCAGCCAATGATCACTAGGGGGTGCCAACATCTACAAATGCTCATGACCTTTACATAAAATGATATAGAACCTAAAATATCCTCCATATACTTTAAATCATCCTTAGATTACCTATACGCTTAATTCAATGTGAATGGTATATCAAAAGTAGTTATGTAATGTTTAGCAATAGATTAAAAAAGTGTGTGTATTTGGTTTAAGCACAATTTTGGGAGACTTTTATCCCCTGTTAGTTGAATTCTCAGATGCTAAACCTACAGACCTACAGATATAGAAGGCTGACTATACTTTAAAATGTTTAAAATGTTTTTTTTTTTTTTTTTGGTTTTTGGAGACAGGGTTTCTCTGTATTGTTTTGGAGGCTGTCCTGGAATTCACTCTGTAAACCAGGCTGGCCTCGAACTCACAGAGATCCCCCTGCCTCTGCTGGGATTAAAGGCGTGCGCCACCAACGCTAAATGTTTTAAAATATTTATTTTTTATGTTGATGAGCCTGGGTGAATGCATGTGCACCCCAGTGTGTGCAGGAGCCCGCAGAGTCCAGAAGACGATGTCAGATCTCCTGAAACTGAGATCCTGAGTCGTCATACAGGTGCTGGGAGCTGGATTTGACTCCTCTGAAAGAACAGTCAGAAGTCTTAAATGATGAGCCATTGCTCAATATCTGCTGTACTTATCTTTAATACACAATAAATAAACTTGTCCTCCTTACTGCTGGAGAAACCCAGTTTCCATATCAACAGTTGTCAGGTTCCAGAAACGTCTGCTTTTGTGACCACTAACCCCTGAGATTTCTTCCTGCTGATGAATGCTGTTTGATCTGTTCGATTGTTTTTAGTGTACCCTGTGCTTAGGGCCCTCTACAAACACAAAACAGCCCCTTTCTCTGAGCACAAGGCAACAATTTTGGTTTTGTTGAAAGTTGGACCTGAATTCCAGTACAAAACCCATTTCACCATTGCCTATTAATCAGTCCCTGGGAAGCCGGTGAACACAGACCTTCACAGTTTCCCTAGATCTTTAGTCTCCTTTGGTCCTCCTTTCTGTCACACTCCACCGCTCTGTTTAACTTTGTTGTTCAATCCCCATCCCTGATTTTTAAATTCTCTTTATTTTCCTCCTTACTAAACAATCTTTTTTCATACAATATAACCTGAATACCATTTCCTCTCCCTTTACTCCTTCCAGTTCCTTCCCATCTCTTTTCTCATATGAATTTATTCCATTTCTGTCTCTCATTAGAAAAGAACATACTTCTAGGAGAAAACAATAAAACATAACAAGATGAAGCATTTTTAAGATAAAACAAAACCCATCATATCGAAGCTGACCAAGACAAACCAACAGAAAACTAAAACAGCCCCAAGAGAAGGCACAAGAATCAGAGACCAACTTGTTCACACGTTCAGGATAAAAGCACTGGACCAATGGCTGTCATGTATGCACAGAGGGCCTGGTGCAGAATCGCGTAGACTCTGTGCTTGCTGCTTCAGTCTCTGTGAGTTCCCATGAGCTTTGCTCAGTCGTGGTGGGCCTTGTTCCCCGATTGTCCTCTGTCACCTCTTACACTTTCTGCCTCCTTTTCTGCAGGGTTCCCCGAAGCTCTGAGGGGAGGGATTTGATGGAGGCATCTCATTTAGAACTGTGTACTCCAAGGTCTTTCTCAGCACACGCCTTCTGATATCCTAATGGCTGCCACACTTGGGTGTAGTCAACATCAGTTAGACTATTTCAGTTCAGCTCTCCCTCTTCCCACCACCCAGGGGGGCTTAACTTTTCCCAGCTGGGAAAACAGAGCTGGAAAGCTGTCATTTGCATTAAGGAAATCAACCACAACAGACTGGCTCTCAGTTACACACAAGTGCTTCACACCGACAGAACCTCAACCCCTTGTCCTGTAAATGGCTGATTCTCTGGAGAAAACAAATCAAATTTTGATTTTTTTCTCTACTAATGCTTCCAGTCGACAGGATGCCCATTGCAGATGCCAACTCACACTGAAGAAACATAGCTTTCTCCAGTTCTTCCAGAATTCCCTGCAAACCCTGCAAATACAGCACTCTATTAGGTGAGTTCATATTTGCTTAAGGTTTTTTTTTTTAAAGTTTCTCTTAACTTCACCTCACCTCTCCCTTTCACATTACTCAAAGCTCACTGCATATTTCCTTAAGCACAAATCATGTGCATCTGGATAAATCATGCTATTCCTTGAGAAAGAGGCAGTCCACAGCTGTTATTTTGGTTATAAATTATTATATAATAAGAATGATGAAATTGGTTGGTATGTCTGAGACGAGACTGGGGAGGAGGAGGACCTCTCCTGGAGGGAGAGTTCATTCCCTGGGTGAAAATTAAGGTCCCTGCTGGTTCTGAACTGAGCTATCACCTCCCAACTTAGTGCATATTTTCAGATTTCTGGCTGATGTCACATAGAAACCAGAGGAGCTGACCTACGAGCACTCATGAGTTTGTGTGGGACTGTGCCATTGATATGTTCCTGGCATCTGAGATGGGGACAGATCTTGCTATGAGAACAGGCTAGGATCAGGGAGTCAGAGTCCAGGCAAGGCACTTGCAGCTTTCTGCAAGCTGGCAGAAGATCAAACAAGTCCCTGTGAAACACAGCACAGCCTGTGGGTCTGTCAGGGAACTCTCCCTGGTCAGTCAGGACTCATTTGTTGGATTGTGAATCCTGATTCTTTGTTGAAAATTCCTCTGTTTATTTGTCATAAATAATATATCGAACATTCCAGAATACTTCTGCTGGGCTAACTGTATTAAACAAAGTTTGTTTTTCCATACAGTATCTGGGAGGACTTCACCAGTCATTATGAGGTGTCATGACATTGACATTCTCCAGAAGTACTAACAGGGTCAAACTCTGGCTACCTGGCTGTTTCCTCCTTCTTTTCAAGCAGAAAGCTCTTAGCATTTATAAGTTCAGAACTAAAAAGAGAAGACAGTTCTACACTTAAGACTTATTTCCCAATTTTCAAAAAGGGTCAGGAGTGTGATGATAAAACCAGCCTGCTAGAGCTTTGCATGATTCTGAACCCTACTGTAGGGATGATGCAGCCAGCCTGAGCTTTACAGCCTACTGAGTAGAGCTACCCTGTACCACTGATCAAACAATGTTTCCTACTTTTGTTGTAGGGGACACTAAGAAGCATTTCCCATCACTGGTTATATCATAAACATAGCAAGCGTCCTGCTACATGACAGGCACATCTGTCTGTGTCTGTGAATGACACTTTCAAAAAGCATTTCTGCTAAGCGGCTAAAAAGGACCTGTGTTCTCATGGCTCTGCTATTTGATTCCTGGATCTTCTTGGAAAGCCACCATCCTCCCTAGGCTTCTGTCCCCTTCATTGAAAAACAAGTGGGGTCATCTAAGAATCTAAGCAATAGTGGAGAGGCTACCTTAAATGCCCTTCCCCCCTTAATGAGATTGAGGACCACCTTAAATGCCATCCTAGGGCTTTCATCCTGTAGCTGATGGAAGCAGAATCAGAGACCCACAGAAAAGCACTGAGTCGGACTCCTGGAATCCAGTTATAGAGAGGGAGGAGTAATGAGCAAAGGGGTCAAGACCATACTGGGGAAACCCACAGAAACAGCTGAACTGAGCAAATGGGAACTCATGGTCCCCAGTCTGACATCTGGGGAATCAGCATAGGACTGAACCAGGTTCCCTGATCATGGGTGTCAGTTAGGAGGCCTGGGCAGTCTATGGGGCCTCTGGCAGTGGAGCCAGTATTTATCCTTAGTGCACGAATGGACTTTGGGAGCCCATTCCCCATGGATGGATACTCAGCTTAGATACATGGGGGAGGGCCTAGGCCCTGCCCCAAATGACTTGACAGACTTTGATGATCCCCCATGGAAGGCCTCACCCTCTCTGGGGAGTGGATAGGGCATGGGATGGGGGGGGTTGGTGGTGGGCATGGAGGATGGGAGGAAGAGGGAATTGGGATTGATATGTAAAATAAGATTGTTTCTAATATATATATTCATTCAGGATCCTACTGGTCTTGACATCCCTAGTGTGTGAGCTAGACAAACACAGGACTGTTTGATACTCAAGTGCTGAAGCTCTCCCAGGAAGCTTGTCTTTCCAGGAAGCATTCCGAATGCCTGACTAGCAGTCTTCACCTCTCACATTAGTCTCAGCTCTAGCACAGGCAAGAGCAGCTGAGCCTAGTAACTGTAGATCCAGACTGCCATGGCATTCCCTTGGGAGCAGAACCATTGGGAATAGGCTGAGAACTAAGCAGAGAAGGGACAAGAGAGAAGAGAAATCGGGAAGAAAGTGTAAAGGTAGGGAAAAGGCAGAGACAGGAAATCTCAAAAAATAAGCTGCCAAGTATTTCTTTTAAAATTAAAACAATTTGTTTATGTGTATGACTGTTTTGGCTGCATGTGCATGTATACATGGTTCCCACATGCTCGCAGTTCCTGTAGAAGCCAGAAGAGGATGTTGGATCTCATGGATTCAGGTGGTTGTGAGTGGCCATGTGAGTGCTAGGAACCTAACCTGGGTGGTCTGCCAGAGCTGCAAGTGCTCTTAACAACGAAGCCATCTTTCCACCCCCATGTATTTATTTTACCATTATAGGAAGACAACAAAAGAGAGTTCTGTGTGGCTGCAGAAACTACCCTGAGGAGCTGGGAAATGGCTTAGTTATAAAGTGTAATGGGAAGGCCAGAAAGAGGATCCCTGGGGCTTGCCAGCCAGCTGGTCTATCCAAAGCGGTGAGCCCAGTTTCAGTGAGAGACCCTGTCTGAAAATAAAAGACAGCCAGCAACAGATCAAGACCTGGATTTAATCTCAGGTCTCTACAGGAACGTGTATGTGTCTTCACATACCTGCACAGACATACAAATACAAATATTAAAACACTTCTTTTTAATTAACTAATTTACTTATTTTACATACCAACCAGTTTCCCCTCCCTCCTCTCCTTCCATTCCCTCCCCCACCACTGCCCTTCTCCATCCCTATTCAGAAGGGGTAAGGCCTCCCATGGGAGTCAATAAAACATGGCATATCAAGTTGAGGCAGGACCAGGCTCCTTCCCTTTGCATCAAGGCTGGGCAAGGCATCCCACCATAGGGCATAGGTTCTGAAGAGCCAGCTCATGCATCAGGGGCAGGTCCTGGTCCCACTGCTAGGGGCCCCACAAAATACCAAGCTACACACTATTACCCAGTTACTGTCAGTTATCTGTTTTCAACAAGTGCACATGGTACTGTGATCTTCTGTTTCAGTGCAATTGAAGTCAGGGAGACACCATGTACCACCAGAAGCATAAGATTCCAGAGCATTACTGGTAACACATAGATTAATAGGAATGGGTTAAATTAAATGTAAGAGGTAACTGGTAATAGGCCTGAGCCATTGACCAAAAAAATTATAATTAATATTAAGCCTCAGAGTGGTTACTCAGGAACTGGTGGACAGGAGAGAAATGTCCAGTCACAAGTCCCCCCATGCCTAGTCTATTCTATTTCCCCATTCTAGGGAGACCCATTTTCTTCTAAGTTCTCTGTATCTAAGGATTGTAGGTTGGTTATCATCTCTTTAATAGCTAATATCCACATGTAAGTGAATGGGTTACCTCACGAAGAATGATTTTTTTCTAGTTCCATCCATTTTTCTGTAAATTTCATGATGCCATTTTTTTCATAGCTGAGTAATACTCCATTGTGTAAATGTATCACATTTTGTGCATCCATTCTTCTATTGAGGAACATCTTAGTTGTTTCTAGTTTCTGGCTATTAGTAATAGAGAATGAATGAACATGGTTTGGGTATATGCCCAAGAGTAGTATATCTGGATTTTGAGGTAGATTGATTACCAATTTCTGAGGAACCTCCATATTGATTTTCATAGTGGTTGTATAAATTTGCATCCCCACCGGCAATGGATGGGTATTCTCTTTATTCCACATCCTTGCCAGCATGAGATGTCATTTGTGTTATTATCTTAGCCATTCTGACAGTTGTAAGATGGAATCGCAAAGTAGTTTGCATTTCCCTGATGGCTAAGGATGTTGAACATTTCTTCAAGTGTTTCCCACACACTTGAATTTCCTCTAATTGTGAACTCTCTATTTAGATTTTATATTAAATTACTTGTTTTTTATATCTAGTTTCTTGTGTTCTTTATATATTTTGGTTATTAGCTTTCTATTGGATGTGGAGTTGATGAAAATCTCTTCCCATTCTGTAGGCTGCCACTTGGTGTCCTTTGCTTTATGAATCTTTTCAGTTTTATGAGGTTCCACTTATTAATTGTTGACCTAAGTGCCTGTACTATTGGTGTTCTGTTCAGAAAGTCATTGTTTTTGTGTATGCTCAAGGTTATTCACCACTTTCTCTTCTATCAGGTCCAGTGTATCTGGTTTTATGTTGATGTCTTTGATCCACTTGGACTTGAGGTTACTTCAGGGTGATAAATATGGATCTCTTTCTTCTCCCCTCCTCTTCTCCTCCTCTCTTTTTCTTGGTTCCCTCTCCCCTCCCCCGATGTTTCCAGTCTGCTCAGGAGATCTTGCCTCATTCCACTTCTCTGGGGTATCATGCATCTCTGTTGCGAACCTCCCTGTTTCCCAGACTCATTGACACTGGGATTGTAGACTGACATTCCCCTGATCCATATCTAAAATCAATATATGAGTGAGTACATACCATGTTTGTCTTTTTGTGTCTGGGTTACCTCACTCAGGATGGTTTCCTCTAGTGCCTTTCATTTGCTTGCAAATTTCAAGATTTCATTGTTTTTTTCCACTGAGTAGTACTCCATTGTGTAAATGTACCACATTTTCTCTATCCACTCTTCAGTTGAGGGGCATCTAGGTTGCTTCCAGGATCTAGCTATTACATATAATGCTGCTATGAACATAGTGGAACAGACATCTTTGTTGTATGAATGGGCATCTTTTGGGTATATGCCTAAGAGTGGAATTGCTGGGTCTTGTGGTAGACCGAGTCCCATTTTCCTGAGGAATCTCCATACTGATTTCCATAGTGGATGTACAAGTTGGCACTTCCACCAGCAGTGGAGG